TTCTTTTGGTTGGAATTTCAAGATGAAAACAGGGAATTTAATTCAGCATATTAAATTTATCCTTGCCAGTTTGCAAAATAAATCAGTATCATAAAATTGTAATGTCTTTAAAATGTCTCATTAACTTTTATTTCGCTAGTGTTTTGAAGGCTCTATAATTGGATTCTGGTACATTGAGATCTTGCCTACCAATTAACTATGTATTTTTTCACATCTGACTAAATAAAAATGAGTTGGATTTAATCATTCAGTCCTTGAACTTGGATACCATTTCCTGTTCTAAAAAGTTTTCTCAAGCAAGGATAACTTGCTTGAGATGGAGATAGTTAATACAAATATGTGTTTATTAAAGTATTCATTTTCCCTATACATATATGTGCACTATTTTTTTTTATCCCAGACAACTGTGAAAGTATTTGCCATTGGTCATAGCACAAGGCCATTGATATATTAGAAAATATTTTAATGCTGTTGACCTCTTTGGTTTTTTGTACTGATTTTTGTGTTATAAAAATACTCATACAATCAGGCTACCATGATTCCTGTGAATAATTTTTAATGTAGCACACAGTAAAATAAACAAAAGGTGAATGGTCTACGATGTATATACAACGTTACTTAACATACTATTTCTTGCCAAAGAGGAGCAGACGGATAAGATGGTAGGCTTCAGATTCCATCGGTTCAAATTCTGACTCTGCCACTTTTTAGACAGATGATCTTGGATAAACTACAGAAACCGCCTTTGAGTCAATATCCTTATTTATAAAAGGTGACAAAAATAGCACATACTTCATTGAGTTCTTATGACGATTAAATGAAAAAATGCCCGCAGATTGTCTAGCCCAGGTTGTCTAGTAGGTTACACAAAAGTTTCTGTTACTGCTAGACAAGTCATTAGCATATCACCTTAGACTATTGTACTATTTAATTTTTTCAGTTTCTTTTCTCTCATTTGAAAGAGAAATAGCATACTTAAAAATGAGGAGAATATAAGGAAAAATGAGATTTACAAAAGTGCTCTGAATTTCATGTAAAAAAGGTACAGTCTCAATTTCTAAATAACATTAATATGAATCAGTGGAAGACTCAGTACTATTATTATCTCCACCTTAGTGATATCGAAACTAGGGTGTAAGGCTCTAGAAGTATCCAGCCAACCAGTTTGGGAATAAAGGAAATCTGAATCACAGGTATTGCCTTCTCAATCTTTTAGATTATTTCAGAAATAAATTTGGTGTACTTCTATTTTGGATATTTTTATCCTAATATATCTCCTATTAAATCGCACAATAATTAGTCACCTGGTTCTGACTTTGTCCTTTGAGTTCATTCAGTCTCCTCATCACAGCTTAAAGGAACTGCAAGATCTGGGGCCTGTCTGTCCCTCCAGCCTCCTCATCTCTGTCATTCCAACTTCATGCCCCAAGCTCCTTCGGCCACCATGAGTGTGCCTGGTCCTGACACAACCTCACCTCCACATTCTCCTTTGTGTGATCTGGTTGCTACACAGCAGCGCCCTCCTCTCCCTCCACATGCCCACCCTTCCCTGGGTTCTCATCCTTCAGGTGGCAGCTTATGCTTTCCTGCTAATGGCACCTGTGACTGGACTCTTCTAGATCCCTTCAAGGCCCTTTGTGAGAGAGGATTACCTACCACTGGCCTATTGTGAAAGTGAACACAATTGCCATCACTTCTGCCATCCTGGGATGTTGCTAATAATCATAAGCAATAAATGAAACTAGCAATCACAAATTTTAACAAAGTCTTTGAAAGAAGCAAACAGTGTATTGTGATCCAAAACATCCCTATTTACTTAGCAAAGTCCCAAGTGACATTTTATGTATTATCTGAAGAATGAAGTGAGGCAGAAAGAAAAGCATTTTTGGCAGAAGTTACACTATCATGGCAGGATAAAATAGAGTCTAAAAAGATTTTCGTTTTATTGTTTACATTATTGTCTTCCCTTAACCTACAGGAAATGCATGGTACATGAAAGTTTTTGGATTTTTTTCTCCTAAGAGGCATAGAAACTCCAATGTATACACAAAATTGACAACAAAAGCCATAAGGGATGAGAAACTATGTTAATGCAGATCCGAAACACAATGCTTAGAAACAATTGTTATTATAGTTAGGATGCCATCCATATACTCTGATAACAAAGAGAAAAGGAAGGATAAGTTTTTAATATTCAAAAAAGAAAAATAACATATTGCATTATAAAATGTGGCCTGTCAAACATGCACAAATGATTAATATAAAAACATGCATTTTGTATGGGTTTAAAGCACAAAAAATGTATTTGGGGGAATGTTTTGCAAGAGAGCACAGAATATTAAATGTGAAGACTAAAGTTGTGATGAGATAAATGAAACCATCACAGTGAACAGCCATATGGCATCACATGTTTGTAGTTCAAGTTTTGCTCATGGTTAAATATTACATTTTAAAAATCCTTACACTGTGGCAAATTATATGGACAGTTACAGTCTATGCTTGTTGGTGCAAATGAGAGATTTCTGAAATTATATAGAAGCAGGAAATAATTGCACAAAGCAGGCAACTTAATAATATAAAATAAATTTGAACAAGTTGCCAATAATTTAAACCTTAGATATTTTACTTTCCCAAAGCACTGTAGTATAAAATAAACATGAACACTCTAAAACATGTATTTATGCTTGCCAAGAGTAATCATTAAATTATACATTGCATGATCTGATCAGATAGAAATTGTGTTCATTTTAAAGAATCGACATGGAATTTATATAGTAAGCACTGCCTTTCTTAGAGGATTCTTCATTGTTTCTGTCTCTTTAACCTCTTACTATTTACTGGTATTGTTGAAGCAATGTGTCACTGTTTCAAATCGATGTGATGCTTTTCTTTTAGGCTAGGTTTCCAGTAAAATTATTTGTGAATAAAATACTCAGAAAAAGAATATGTTTCTAAGATAATGCTCAATGATTTAAAAAAATCTCCATTTCTTTTAAAATAAATTATTCCAGAATAATCTCTCCACATGGTAACTTGATATTATTGCTGTTTTCTATGCTTTAAAAAGCTTTGAAAAATTACATTGTAATAATAACCTTTTGAATCAGACACGGAAAGTGACCAGTCGGACCTCCCTGGAATATGAATAAAGGAATAAAGAGAAATCCAAAATCTATAA